GCCTTCCCGCGCCTTCCCGCCTGTCCTCAGTCTGTCCCCTCTGGCCGGCAGCCCCGGGGCCCGGCCCACGGCTCTTCTCTGACGCCCGCGGCAGAAGGGGTGGGAGGAAGGGGCTCTCCCTCAAGCACTCTCGACCCAAGCACTGGACGCTTGGGCCCCTCAGGTGGCCGCACCGGCTGCACAACTGTTTCCTCAGAGAGGGCAAAAGTACTTGCAGTGGGGTTTGCGGTGCGTGTAGCTGGTAGCGCTGGCGGTGCTGGTTTCCTCCCCTCGGGGCTGTGCCTACCTGGGTGTGGGGCTTCTCCTCGGCCGCTTCAGTGCCCACCTGCGGCCTGAATGCTCTTCGATTCCTATTTTTTAAAAAGATTATTAAAAAAAGTACTTGTCTGTCAAAGCTGAATCTAGACTGCAGCTTTTGAGAACGGCTGCTACTCTCGGGGGGCTCAAACACCTCACATTCTGTCCCGGACTCAGGCTGGGGTATTGGTGGCTGCAGGGCACAGCGGGCGGCCTCTGAGCTGCTGCAAGGTCACCAAGGTGGTTTTCAAGCTAGGTGTAAGCGTGCACTCTTGTGAGTAAATGTGTTATAAAAGTAAGTTTAATCTGCCTAAATATGGGGAAGGGTCTGCATTTCCTCCTGAAAACCTGGGGCTGGAGTTGGACAAGGTGGCTCAGCGCATCCCACCATGAGTGAAGGTGGGGGTCACGCACTGCTTTCTCCACTGCTCTTCTCAGCCCATCCTGAGCTGGTGCAGATCATTGTGTTACCAGAAAAATGACTCTTTCTTGTAGTCATTAGATCAGCTCAGCCATGTTGTCTAGTGGTGCCCTGTGTCACTTTTGAGATGCATGAAGATGTTCCAAGTTTGCACTGGAGTAATGGGGAAAAAAATTGGCTGAAATACAGCAATTTGTGTAAAAGGCTGCTTTATGTAATGAAAATACCTTTTAATTGCCAAGAAACACTTCCAACTGTTTTTTTTTCCACAGCTGTACACATTTACTAATTAATCGTGATAAGAATATAAAATTCATATTAAGTGTTGATATCGACAAAACAGAGAAATGAAAATTTAAGATCCCATTCGTGAAAGATAATACAGGGGTTTTTCTCTTATGTACATTTGACTGTGTATGTGCAGATGAAAACACAGGACCTCTGTGGGTGTCTTAGTACTGGATAGGATTGCAGTTACAAACATTTTGATATTAGTTGACCTTCCTCTTTTCTCAACACACTTCTTTCCAGACCATGAAGAATTTTCTGGGAATTGGTCATAAGATCTTTCACCATAAAATGATTTTAACTGTTCTTATCTGCATTTTTGAGAGTGTTATTAGACAAGTCACTTTTGGTAACTGCCACAAGGTAATACAGATGGCTGAGCATGTGCAATGTCATGCTGATTCAGGTCCAGGAATCTGTAGCCACTCTTACTTCATGAAGTATTAAGCAGTATAACTGACTAACAACCTCACATGTATCTGGTTTAATGGTTTGGTTTATAGAAGTATTTAGACAATGATAGTGTTCATTGAGGGACACTTACGTTCTTGTACTTTTATTTGTAGATGTTGGGAGATCAGCATGTTGATAGCTCTACTCAAGAGAGAGGGGATGAAGATCACGGTGACGTAGCTGATGCAAAGCCAGACAGAAGTAGCAGATTCTCACTTTTTGGAAAGTACGTTGCTACTTTTATTCCTGTTACTGTTGTATCAGCTGTCATACTGCCCTTCTAATGGGATTTTAGTGTTTGGTTTGCTATGTCCACAATGTCATAGATGATCTGGACAGGGAGATGGTTTTACGTTGTTTAGGTTTAATGTATCTGATCTGTACCTTAAAGCATCTCTTTATAGTATCTCCCTATAGGGAGACCTATAGTATCTCCCATAAGCTTTATTTTGTAGTTAAGAGACCACTAAGTTCATTTAGCATCAATTATAGTCCCTCATCTTAAATATTGCCTTTTGGTGGAGCTAGGAATTAAATATGCCATTAATTATCTATTTTACTGCATTCAGCTCAGCTAATCTCCTACATCATTGGAATCCCCTGCTGACTATTTAAGTTAGTTTAAAGCTTGGATGTGCCATCTAGGTTGTAGCACAAAGGAGCCTCACTGAGTCTAGAGATGTATACCCACTACGGAATAAATTAAAAGCCTTCAATTTCAAAACATAGTAGTTTTACTGTAGCATAAGCTTAGGAAGCAAGAACTATGTACTGCTTGTTTGTACTCCTGAAAACACTAGATAAATGTGATTGAAAATGCAAAAGATGAAAAATGAACATGCAAAATTTACAAATACATCGAGTGTCAGCAAATGGCTACTTCACATTGTGAACTTAATGGATTTAGAGAGATTTTCTTAGAGTTGTTTATTACAGAGACTATTGTATTTACAGAGAGATTTTGATTTTTTTTTACTATTGGACATTCCCATTCAAGTGAACGATATAGTTCAGAGAAAGAACATGTAGAATATAATTTTATCTTTGCTGCTTGTTATGAGTCTAATGGGGGTAACAAATCTGTGAGAGAAGTGAAGGTGCTTTAGTCAGAAGACTTTTGATGTGCTGTTAAGCAAATCACTTTACTTTGTCTCATCTTCTCAATCCTCAAATATGTTTTGTGATGCATATGTGTATTATTAATTTTAATGGCATTTTAACAGAATTTTCACATCATGGAGAATAGACAGTGTAACGTTTGTTTCTAATTGTCAAACATTTTTCAAAGGTTTCTTTTAAACTTTATAAAATGTGTGTTTTAATATCTGAATTGGTCTTCTTTATGAGAGATGATATGCTAATACTATTACTAAATTATGCAACTCAAAGTTAATCATTCCTGAAGGAAAGGCAATAATCAGCATTTTTATCACTTTTTTCCTATAAGAATTTTTTCAAATACTTTGGCTATGCATCAGTTTAAGGCATTCATCTTTTGGGAACTCCTTGAAGGTACAATTTGAAACATTTTTCTTTAGAAGTAAAAAATTGCTCAGATTAAATATGAGTTAATTGAGAAGATTCAACTTAGATTTTGTACAGAAAAATAAGTCTGAGAAATCTATCAGAGTTTCTTGAAGAAGTTGATGATTGCCTACAGAGGAATGAGCTAGCTGACAGCAAAGGTCTTAAAAATCCAAGCACAGTGACAAAGTCTTTATCTTATAGAAACTAAAACTCTTTGGCCTGAAGGAAGATAGGAGAGGAATGTGAGAGGATAAAGGAAGATGAGATCTGATCTAGAATTGTGACTATAATGGAGGAGAAAGTGAATAGAGAATGATTGTTCCTTGTGCCTCACAGCAAATTTACGGGGCATCTAATGAAAAGTTCATGCAGTAGGTTTAAAACAATTGGTAAGTTGTAATTTTCACATAGTGCAGAATGCAATTGTAGAACTTAAAGTCACAAGATATGCAGATGTCAAAATTTTAGGTGAGTTTAGAAGAGGTTAAAGGTATTTGGGGAAGAAAAGTCCAGTGGAAATATTGATGTTAAAATCTTTGGTGCAAGGTGTTCCTAAATCAGGTGTCTGTGAGAATATGTTCTGTAACCAATATCTTTTGTTTATTTTCTTAAAACTCATTACTAGTCAGTACCACATACTAGGCTAGATGTACTTTCAGTTGGAACCAGCATGGCTCTATGTCTTGATTGCCAAGTCTTCATTTTGGCAACATGAAATTAATACCTGTAAAATAAGATGTCTAGAAATCTTTCGATTAACTACAAGTTTATGGTCCCTTGTTTTGTTTTAGCAAGAGTTTTTACCAGCTGTGCAATACTTTCAGTGAAATTCTACTTTGTATTTAATTTATTATTGCTTCAAATATATAAGCTCAGTAGGAAAACAAGTAAATTGTATTGATAAATAAGCACCTTAATTTTCATTTAAGAGAACAGAGCAGTGAGAAACTGAATTAATAGCAGTGCAGAAAGGCCAGCTATTTCCAGTAGCTTCACAGCTCCAATTCACCATTCTCTGGTTGTGACTAGAGATTCGTCTAATCAGGAGCAGTAAGTAGAAATAAGTGAAAATCTTATTCACTACAGCATATTTCTCTCCAAGAAGTCTGTGAGCCTGCTTTACCATGGAGGCCGCGACGCTCAGAACAAGCCACTGAGTGGGCAGGTTATTCTGGCTGCGCCACAGTTTAGGGGAATTATCTTTTACGTATTTCCTTTTCTTTGAAAAAATGCTAGTACTTAGTTAATGGTGGGAAAAAACTGTTTGGTGGGGAAAAGAGCTGAAAAATCAGTTTTGAAGGACCATCTGTGGGTGGTGTTTGGTTTAGGGGTTTTTAGCCACTAGATGGCAGGAGGATATCAATTTTGTTTACTGCAAAAAAGGTGGACAAAAATTAGGGAGCGTTGCAGCAGAGTGAAAAGTTATGTTTCAGGAAGCAGAAATAACAGCATACACCCTGACATGCCTGCGTGCAACAAAACCTTAAAACTTTGTTGAGAAAAGATTGATCTGAGGATTTCAAACGTGTATTTTAATTCTTTATGTCATAGTTAGAAAGCAATACAATTTTTCCCACAGAAATTTTTCTTTTCTATGTTGTATGTGCTCCTGTTACACTTTCAAGGTTTTAAAAATGTCTCACTTCTCCACAGGATGATTTAATATCTTCATTTGGTATCTTTTGTCTTTTAGTGGAGAACTCTGTTACGGAGATTAGTAACAGCAAATATTTTAGCATCCAGGAAACAATGTAACATGAAACAGAATAAAATTGTGGTTCCACTGCATTAAGAAGAGCTAAGATTTCTCTTACCTATCGAAAGCTGTTGTGTTTTTTGTTTGTTTTTTTTTTTAAAAAGCTGCATCTGAAAATACTGAAGGCTTGGTACATTCAAATTTGCACTGTCAATAATCATGACTGTGGGCTGCAGTGAAGCAGCAGAATGCAGAAGAAGGTGGTTATTAGTATTTAGGTACCAATTTTATTCTAATTTAATTGTATAAAACCATTTGTTCTCTGGTTACTTTTATCTACTCCATCCCTACTGTCTTGTTTTGCAGTCAGTATTCGAAACAGAAAACATAATTTAAATATATATTTAAGAATTCTTACAAATAGCTAGTTACAATTGAAACTGTGCGATTCTGTAGTGCCTTTAATGCAGAAGCATTAAATACATTCTAAGAAAATCCCACTGAGGAATCTGCGAGGTTTGTAGAGTACACTGGCATATAGTCACCGAGAGCACTTCAGCTGTTTAACACTGCAAACCCAAAATATCTGTAAGGTATTTATTTCTGCCCAGTCAGGCCACTATAAAGTTTGAAACTTTTCATTTTAATTCATTTGAAAGTTTGCTGGAAACACCAGTGTGTATCTTGCCTCTGTAGTTCAATAGTTATGATAGTTATATAGTTATAACTACCAGGTTTATAAACTAGTATTTAGATCAAAAAGATTCACAGATATATAGGTTTTTCTTTCATTTGTATGGTGTTTATTTGTTTTACAGGACATCAAAGTGGGGGAGCACTTTGTTGCCAAAGCTGACTATTTTAAGTTCATGACCCTTGTCTCAGTGTAGCCATATTTCTCAAAATAAATAGCCTTGTCCTTCAAAGAATAAATACTAATTTTAGAGATTCAGCCTCGGCTGAACCTCAGCTTTGGAGCTGTAACAGGTGTGGGAAGTTGTCTTTGTTTCAGTTTTGCTCTTCTGTTGTTGTTCTGTCTTTGGGGGACCTATTTTCCATCCACTGTTGATTACCAACAGCTTAATTTTATTTGGTTTGTAAGAAGCTGCTTTGCAGGTAGAACTTTATGAAGATCAGTTTCGCAGGGATCCAGATGCATATGTTTACCAGAGTTGCCCATTTGGTATTTTTAGGGCCATTTGAAAATACTGGGCCTGATATTATAAATTAATTGCTTGCTTTGTAGAAAAAGTACTACTGCTAGCACCATATGCTTATGAAGAAACTGTACTGGCCTCCACTGCATGAATGTCAGCTGTTCATGCCTTGCAATTAATGTGTTCAAATCCAGATCATGCCTTGAATGATACCTCATCTTTTTTATCATAACTTTTACAGTTTTAAAACTAAAAATGTTGTTGTTAATTAAAAATTAAAATTAACATTAAAAATTTCAGTGACAGAATATTACAGACCTTTCAAAAATAAATATTGCTAAGAAAAATATCTCTCTTATTCTTTGATAGAATAAAAATAGCAAGCTACTTTACAACAAATAGGAGCTGATGCATCATTAATTGAATTTATGCTCTGGGCTGCAACTCTGAGGTCAGAACTGGACTCTTGGTTCAGCCTCACCTTTCCTTTATGTCTCTAAGCAAACCACTGTGCGCCTTAGTCTGTCCTGTAAATAGTTGATGTTCTTTCCTTTTACTACTGTAACTCCGAAGTCTAGCACAATATAACTTTAATTCTGTTTAGAGTTTGTGGGTTCTGCTTTGCACAGCCTAAATATCAGTGTATTTTCTCCTAAAACACTGAACAAAAACTTGCAGAAGCAGTAGGTTCTGGCATTTATAGTCTGTTAAAGTTAATTCCTACAAAGACAATAAAAAGATTTTAACAGATCAACAGGGATGTTTCATTACTCTCTTTTAAGCTGGAGGTTTTTTTACTTTTTTTTTATTGCAGTTTGTGTTAGATCTGGAACTCAACTTCTGGAG